ATATATATATATATATATATATATATATATATATATATGTATATATATATATATATATTGGATCGGGCTGCACGCCGCAGCGAGATGACACTTGGGCTGTAGGAGCCCCTCCGGAGTCTGCACGCCCCCAGTGAGCGTAGTCTACTATAAATATACGGATCGGGCTCCACGCCGCAGTGGTTATTATGATTTTTATTATTATGAGTTAATACTGAGCCGAGTGCTAATAGTGAATATTGTGTGACTTGAGTTGAGTCACGTGTGATTGAGAGGCTGCCCGAAGGCTATGTTTTGAGCGATCTCTTGCCCAAGGGGCCCTGTTATTATTTTTTTACTGCTTTCACTCTTTTTATAAATAAGCCTCTGTTGGATATATTTGTCAAGTTACTGATTTCAAAGTTTAAACTAAAAATGATGAAGTTATGAAAGCACTGATTTTTAAAGTTATATGTTTTGAACTGCTCGTCACTACTTTCAGTCCATTATTTACTTTAGTTACTTACTGAGTTGGCGTACTCACGTTACTCCCTGCACCTTATGTGTAGATCCAGGTGCCCGAGAGGCCGAGTGAGAGCTTTCAGCTATCTTCCAGCATTTGTCGGAGATTTCGAGGTAGCTGCATGGCGTCCGCAACCCTGATTTCTCCCTTCCATCTTACTATTTTTCTGCATTTCTAGACTATCTATGTAATGGGTTGTTCAGACTTGTATTAGAGGCTCTAGACTCATGACACCAGATCAGTGTGGGTTGTGTAGTTTCTATGTCTTGTTGATTTCCGCATATCTTTCTTGTTTTTTAAACCCTTATTATGATAATTGGTAATTAAACCGTGTTAGTAAATGACTTATTGAATGAAAATGGGTTATGGTTTGGTAGTTGGTCTGGCTTGCCTAGTAATGTGATAGGCGCCATCACGGCCGGTATTTGGGGTCTCGACACTTGCTCAATAATTTAATTTCGAGCATAATTTCCAGATTTTCTATTCAAGAAGTTCATCTTGATAAGGTGATTTACATCACAGTTGGTTTAGCAAAATGATTTATTAAGTGTCTCTACTTGATAGCTAAACAATTGCTTATGAGAACAAAGTTATCTATATCAGTTTGATATACGTTATATACCAAAGTATATTATTTTCTCCCCTCACAAGTGGTTCAGGGTCAGGAACCAAATAATTCCATCTTATTATTATTGATGTGCGGTGTATATTTTGATTAACACCATAACACACAAAGATGAGTTCTCAAAGTTGAGGAAACAAGTTAGTTTTTCTAACATGAGGGAGAGACATGCTAAACAGTTGAGAAAAAGTTACATCGAATGAATTATAATTTATACATCTCGATCCTCAAATAAGATAATATGAACTTGAAGTTCATAAAAGGATAATTCATTTGCAATATATTGCAAAGCATGCTAGACGCACTTGCTGACCCAAAGAAAGTAACTATATTCTCATTGCAAATGCTCCTATTAAGTCCTAGAAGGACAAAGTCTATGGTACGCTTAAAGCGCATAGACAAATCGGTTTCAAATAAACTTCTTGATAAAGAAGATGAGCAAATGATCAAAATGATCACAATAAAGGAGGCAACTGATCTAGAAGATCACATGACATAACATTTCATAAAATATCAGGACAGATTCAGGTACCTGAAAATATAAATGAAGAGATCTCTATGTTATGTCTTTATGAAAAAAAAAGGAGGTTGGAAACAATATAAAATATTCGTCAACGACATCTATGAAAGCGCTAAGTATAGATGAGAATTTTAAGTCTGTCAAATACAGACACAAAAATATTGGCCAAATAGAAGAGACACAATTCAAATAGAATTGGTTTCATATGAAATGCATGTAGTTTTGAACATGTAGTTCAAACATTTGAAAGTATAAAGGCAATGGTATGTGCAATCAGTTTTCAGTATCTTATTTGTCTAGCATGACATAAAAACTTGATATGCATCTAAAGTCAATTTGTATGCTTATATGACAATTTCTGAAGGATTTAAATTGCTTAAAGCATGTAGAATTCATGGTCATGAAGTACTATATCCTCAGTGCAATTTGTGCACAAATGTATTTTGCTATAACTATATGCATGATATTATGATAGCAAGAGTTTTCACCTCTATGTGAAGATATTGAACTGACAATTCCAACAAGATCATATGAAGACAATTCATCTCTATCGGGAATGATGATTTCAAGGTGCAATATATTCATTCAAGTTAATATGCCTGATTTGTTCATCAAATCTCTACCAAAGATCTTTTGAAGATGGTGCACAAGATTGGAATGCGAAGGCTCAAGGATGTGAATTGATGCTCTCATCAGGGGGAGTTAATGCGCGTTGCACTCTTCTCCTTTACAAGGTTTTGTCCCACTGGGTTTTCCTTACAAGGTTTTTAACGAGGCAACCAAAAGGCGTATTGTTAGATATGTATACTCTTTTTTCTTCTCTAGAATTTTTTTCCCACTGGGTTTTATTTTAGTTAAGGTTTTAATGAGGCACATTATCTGTTGAATAGACATTCAGGGGGAGTGTTATAAATAGGATTTTATTTATGGTGAATGTCTATATTTAGAGAGATTCTAGGGTTTATTACTTGATGGCTAAGTCACTCTTTCCCTATTAATAGAAGGTTCTATTCCATTGTAATTCATCCCAAAATTCAATAAGAATTCCCTCTCCCTGTTTCTCTGCAATATTGTTCTTCTACTTTTATTGTTTCATAACAAAAAGTAAACAAAATAAGGAATTGGGGTCAGATATAAAAGTGAGGGAGGGGAGGGGGCTCAAGTAAAAAGAGGGAAAGGTAATTTGGACAAGTGGTATTTTTACTAAGACTTTTAAGATTTGAAATTATAAAAAATGCAAAAATTAAGTATGTTAGTCGAAAAGGGTATAAGTGAGTCAAATTGGTCACGGCAGGGGAAGTTTTGGTACCAACTTTGACGAAGGATATAATTGTTCTATATCAACTAGTATAAGAACAGTTTTGACCCTTTTTCGTTTGAAGAACTATGTATTAATTGTGAGCAGGCCGCATCAATTCAATTGTTTAAAACTAGATTGGTGTATAGTATTGATTGAGCTAAGCAAACTACATACAATGGTGTCAAAAGTGGAGAAGCTATGCTATAAGGCCGAGCTGCTATACATTCAGCCATATCACAGAGATCTCGAAGCGATTCTCTTTTTTTTTGTGGGACGAAATCCGATATAGCTGTAGAGAGCAAGGCAGGCTGGCAATTGAAACTCAAATCTGCATAGTGAGCAAATAAGATCACAATTAGGCAATTTCTAAATTGAGCTAAACAAAGTAGTTGGCTCACACGTACTCTTTCTTGCTCAAAAGAGAATGTAATTGTCCATAGTCTTCTGTTGACAAAGAGAGGCTAAAGGAAAATTTGACGAGGCAAATTGGATGAGGATACACCTAAGCTTAACTAAGTCAACAAAAGAAAAATAACAAGCTTTAGTTCATAAAAAAAAAGATAAATAAATCAAGAAATAGTGTTCCATTAAATATAGTAGGAGTAATAAATTATTCTTCCCAGTAGTTAAACTGTACTTTTCCTTCTCTAATTAAATGAAGTTTATTCTGTCATATCTTCTAGAATTTGCATCGCTAATCCTTCTTCTCATGAAAAATGCCATACAACTAGGTTCTTATCTTATTAATTGAATAAGGATATAAATTAATGATGCACGCTAAGAAACAGTCCAAATCAATGTGCTTTTTAATGAATAAACATACAAAGAACAAGTCAAGCTAGGTTTAAATTCACAAACTGTCATTTCCATAATAACAGTATTATGGTCTTTGTGTGCACTTCGATTAATTTTACAGAATACGTGCTACCTCCTACCAACACAAGCATAAGATAAATCTGTCCACTAAAATTTCAATTTATCTGCACCTCGATGAATTTTACGGGGTACGTGCTATCTTCTACCAATACTGACATAAGATAATTCTGTCCACTAAAACTTCAATTTATCTGCACCTCGACTAATTCCAATGGTTACGTGTAATCTCCTATCCATACATGTATCGAGTAACTCCGTTTATGAAACTTGAATAAATCTGTTTCTTTCTCTCTAGAATGAATAACTTATAGAAATACAAGAGCAGGACATGATTGGGGGCAAGGTAATGATCAAGTCAATGTGGAAATAAATAAAAAGAAGAGATATTATTTATATAGTAGAAGAAGAAAAAGAAAACTTGGCAAACTGCCACCAAACCCCAATATATAACAAAAGAAGCTAGCCGAAGTCTTGAAATACTAATTCATTTTCTTCTTCTCCTTCTCTTTCAAGTTCAAAACATAACAAAGAAAAGAAGAGAAAAAGTTTTATGGAAGGACTAATTCCATTAGTGTACAAGACCATTAAAAGGAGCAGAACTCGGCGGCGATACGAATGTCTCTCTTTTGGTGCTGCTGACAACTATAATATTGAAAACTTCTATCCAAATGGTTTCGTCAATAGTAAACAGTATGAAGTGACACCTAGTGATAAGGTGGCTGCTGGTGGTGGACTTCAGGCACAGAACAACCGGCACCGGCGAACACAGTCCTTCCACGTGGAATATACCGGTGGAGTTTCGCCGGAGATTGGTAGTACTCCGGCAAAGGATAAAGAACTAGTGCGTTTCAAGGGCCACCGTAGAATGTTTTCATGTGTAACTGGTGGATGGTGAAGCAGGGGCGGCCAAACATGCATGAGAGACATTTAATTATTTTTGTATAATATAAAAACTTTCATATATATTAATTATTTGAAATATAGTTTTCTAGCTTTTTTAAGATGCAAAATTATGAATATTTATTTTATAATCAATTTCTTCTAATAGTTATTATTCAATTTATAGTATAGTTAATACATTCAATCTCTTGTGCCATGGTTGATTTTAAGTAAGATTTTATCAATTTTAATTTAATTAATAAAATTTAATTAAAAGCCGGCCCTATGGTGAAGAAAAGTTAGAAATATACCTCTTCTTAATTAGTGGCGTGCGGAGAATATTCCATCAGGAGTGTCGCTCTATAGCCACCGTTATGTTTTTAAGATATTTTGTAAATTGTTATTTACTTTGTATTATTTTCAAGCTATATCGACCTATGATGTATACATATTTTTCTAAAAGAATATTATTTGCACATATATACTAAAAAAACATTTTTGTGATGTGGTTTCTCCAACTACGTCTTCTCAATAACTGTGTTGATTTCCAATTTCTATTTGTCTTATTTTGTTATATTGTAATTGTATATCTTCCTTCTGAATTCTGATAGGGTAGCTAATACTACCTAGAAACAGGAAATTGGTAATTTTAATACATCTGCAAAAGTGTGGTGAAACTTTTAATATGTAAATATTCCCCGAAAGTGAGTCAAATTGGACTCACTAGAAATTAGAAAAGTCTTCTTCAGAATTGTAAGCTAAATTATGAGGGTTAATGAGCTCTACTACTCTTTGTATTCTTCTTCCTCCAGTGTGATTTTCCAAACACAAATCTATTGCAACAACATAATTACTTGGAAGATTATTTTGTTAACAAGGTTAATATCAAGTCTTAATGGATTATAATTTTTCTAGAGTGGGATTAGGATTTAGGTAGGTTTAGTAGGGCAAAAAGGTTAAAAGAAAACAGTTAACCACCCATATTATCTACTAAAAAATGGATTGGATAATGAACTTTCTAAAAACCAGTCAAATATGGATAAGAACCATATTATCCATTTAGAAATTAAATGGATAACCAATGAGTTTAACTTTTATATTTGTAAAGTCTCAAATTGGAGGTTCCTCAAGTTTGGGAGACTAGGAATTCTCCCAAAAGTGATCATATTCAAGAAGTCATGGATAATATGGTTACCCATATTATCCGCAGGTTAACCCATTTTTTTTATCTGTATCAAAAAATGGGTCAGGTCGGATAATTTATCCATTTTTTCATTATCCGTTTCGACCCGAACCATATCCAACTCGATCCGCTTTTTGCCGACTACTAGGCAGGTTCCATTCAGAGTAGTTCGGGGCTAGCTTAAACCACTTTTCATTTTCTATTGTTTTGTGTTCTAGTTTATTTCAAGTCCAAGTCATTAGTGGTAGTCTATTCTTTTGGTCCTTAATGGAACTTATTGCGTACTTTCTTTTAAGTAACAGGAATGTAAGTGTTATACCTCTTCTTTTTTCTTCCTGGGCCTCTTTCTTTTTTTTCTTTTTTCTTTTTTTTTTTTGTAAATCTAACTTTGTGAAATTACACATTATTTTTTGCTTGATCACGAGTTCTTATTGGGTATGAAAATTATATATTTTGGTTGTTATTTTGTTATGACGAAATGTGCTGTATTTTGTTATAAGGTGAATTATACCATTTATTTTCGAATTACTCTCTTGAACCTTCAAAAAGATTTGCCCTCCACGCTTTAACAGTCTAATTAAGACTAAGACAAACAAATACCCCAAAATAATTTCATCCTAATAATACTTTAAACAAATATTTACATCATACAACGTATGATCTGATCTTTGGAAGTGGTCCTAAACCACTTATCGAGACCAGAAGTAAGCTGAGTTTTGGTCCCCCAAACAGATCATGCAAAACATAAAGGTTCATTGAAATTGAATATTTCTCAAGATCACTTGACAAGTCAATGTTTCTTAAGTATGGAATGCGTCTTCTAGTGAAATTTCTCCAGAAACTGCTATTTGATAATAGGTGAATTTAACTATAATTAGGCCCTAAAGAACCACCTTCTTGTATAGTTTTGATGATAAAAGTGATAACAAAATGCTCTGATTAGTGCTTTTCATGCTTTGCAGGTGATATATGACAAGAGAAGGCTATGGAGTACTTTTGGGATCAAATATGGAGAAAAAGAGGCCAAACGTAAAATTTTGCCAAGCGAACCAAGCGAAACAGCTCAAGCCAAGCCTGAAAAAGGACTGCCGCGGTTCCACCGCGACCGCGGCAGAACCGCGGTAGAAGACGGTCGCGGATAAGTTGAGATTCAGAGAAGGTGTGTGGCCGCGGTTTGACCGCGACCGCGGCAGAACCGCGGCAGAGGCGGAAAAGTTCAGGGACTTAAGTGCAAAACACGGGATTTTTAGCCCAAAACCCTATTTTAAATACTAGACTTCGCCCAAGGAAGGCAAGGATTGTATTGGAGAATATTTTAGCAAGGAAACAATTAGTGAGAGATAACCCAAATATCTTCTTCTTTTCTTTGATTTTTCTTGCAAGTTTTATGATGAATATTGTTTTAGTTTGTTTACCCATAGTTATGAGTAGCTAAATCCTTTGTCTAAGGTTTTGATGGAACCTATTGGGGGATGAACTTCTTGTTTATGTGAATACAAATTGCTAGTTCCAATCTCTATTTGTTCAACTATGTGTTTGTTGTAGTTAATTGACAGGATCCTCAATTAGCTGTGCCTATTTAGTGTGCATAACTCGGGAGAGAGTGCATATTTAGGTAATTGTTAAACAACACCACTCCCAAAGTATATGAGGGATCAATAACCGAGGGTTTAAAGGCGGGATTAGGGATAACGAAGCCTTGGGTGTAATCTAAAGTGAATTGTGTTAAATAAAGCAAGCTAGTGTATCTCGGGAGAGTGCAACTAGTAAATTACTGTGATTACTCGGGAGAGCTTTACGGTAAGAAGAGCGTTCATGATTGATAGAGATGTGTTGGTAAATTTGTATGAAGCATAAACAGAAGGGATTCCACCAATAAGGGAAATCATTACCTTAGCACTTTCTCATTATTGTTTACAGCTTAGCATCTTTAATTTGTAGCTATTAGTTACTGTTGATCTTAGTTATTAAAAACACCATCAACTGTGATTCTCAACGTTTGGGAAATTGATTCTAAAGAGTTTAGTAGGTCTAAAGATAGTGATTGATAGGTTAATTCTTTGTGGATTCGACTCTAGGCACAATACTCAGGTTATATTTGCAACGTCCGCATTGTCCTTTTTATAAGGCATAGTTGGGCGTGATCAAATTTTGGCGCCGTTGCCGGGGAATTAACGAAATTATCAATTACCATTGATAGAAGTACAAAAATTCTTAGTGTAGTCAGTTTTCTCTATACCCAACTTGTGAATATTTGTGTAATTAATTTTTCTTACCTTGGTCTATTTGTATTGTTATTCGTGTTTATTTTCTTAGTTTTGAAAAATGGCATCATATAATGAAAATTGGTCGGATGGTAGTTGTTCATACTTTGATGACCCTTGTCTTTATTGTGGAGGACCACACTCGTGGCAAAATTATTTAAATTCTCCCAGGGGTGGATTGTGCGCACAATCTCAAACCCATGAGTGGAGTATTTGTGATAAGTGTGGTTTTCAAAATGGTCATTGGGATGATTGTGCTTATTTGTCCTTCCCTTCCCCAAGCCCCCACTATGATGATTCTACTTTTTGTGACGACAATTATAGGGCCATGGGAGTTGAAGAAGTTGAGCATGGCCGAAATAGAGAGTTCAAGCTCATGTTGGAGTGCTTACTTGAAGGAGGAAACAAAGAACAACGTGCCTTGGAGGAGCTTTTGGAAAATAGTCTACGAAATGACTTGGCACTTGAAAGGTGTCACTCACAAATGGGAGAAATGCTTGAAGCTTTAGAGGTCCAAAAAGCCTCGGAAGTTAATGAGAGCCAAGAACTTTCCTTAGATGTGGAAGCCGAAAATCTTTCCTTGGCACTTGATCAAAACCAAGAAGAATCCAATTCCGAGGAAGAAAGTGAGTGTTACTTTGAGGATTCAAGAATTGAACATCCGCCAACCGACTCCATGAGTGTTAATGATGCCGAAAAAAATAGGATTAGAGTCAACCGGTGTAAATAAAAATTTGGTTGAGATTGACTCTAACCCGGGGGAAAAAGAGGATGTCAAAATCCGAGAAGAAGTGCAAAATGAAGGTTTGAAGTCGCATTTCAAGCATTTTTCAACATTCGACTTGTGTGGTGATATGGGAATTGATCTACACGACACAATGAGGGATTGCAAGGAGGAAAGGCAACAACCACTCATCTTACAATTTGAGGGAACAAGGAGGCAAAATGACAGTCCTCACATGAAAGCCAAGAAGTGCAAAATGAAGTACTTAAAGCTTGGCTCGACCATTAACGTACCACCCCCGATCGCTCGAGGTCACAAGCTTGATTCCAAGCTAGGTGCCCAGTTCATATCATCCAAGTGGCGAGAAAAGTGTGTCAATTTTTTTTTCTTCTTCTAGGAGCATGGAAAAGCAAAGGTAGTGGAAGGATGCAACAGCAAACCAAATGGTTGGAACTAAGTGTGAGGTACCCGCACGAAGGACCAAGCTTGGGAGAAGCCTGAGTACCCCATGAGCTGCTAGTACTTCGGCCTTTGGCCTACCAGGGAGTTTCTTTTACCCGTCTTGTACTGTATGGGTGTGCATTGGGGACATGCACAGTTTTAAGTGTG